CTCTGTTGGAGTCCTAGAGTATGTACCAGAGACCTTTACAGTACCAGAACAAGCAGAGTCACGAACGGTGTTTTCAGTGTAATTCATTCATTGCCAGAACTGGTTGAAATGAAACATGAACAGGAAGATCCCAATTCTCACTTTCCAATCTTAACATATTCTTGTGTGTACAGCCAACTACATTAGCAGAAGTAGATAGCACTTCACGTGGTTTCTATAACTTGACTACTTGGATGAGTGCCCCTTCTATATATATATTAAAAAAATAAAAAAAACCCCAAAGTTAAACATTATCAGGCAGGCAGCCAAATGCCAGCCAATTAAAATATTTCAGAGACTCCCAGGTAAGTGCTTTAGAACTAAGCATTCAACTGAAGTTAACAGCTGTTAAGTTTGTCTGTATTTTGAGAACAAGGCATGTTCATTTTACACTGTAAATTTGCTCATTAATGGTCATGGCAACATGGCTGATTCACATTAAGCAATTACATATACCCACGGCAGAATGTGGCATAACTGCACAGCACCCTGGCTGGACAGCGCCAGCCTGATGGTCCCTCACCAGCGATTCCATGACCTTCCCTGAAATGCACTAAGGTACCTAGTAGAAAACAAGGGGAATAGAAGTCTGGAACTACAGTGCTTAGGAGTAACACAAATTTCACATGATTCCTTTATCACTATGCCTGATATTTCTCTTCTGGCAAGCTGGAGGAAGAACTGATATTTAAAACACCAAGATACAGAAACTGACTGAAAAATATTTGGCAACTTGCTACCAGCTAGATTTGCCTGTAGAAGTCATCCACTGGTGCCAGGCAATCTGGTAGGTCCACTAGGAAAGGTAATTTCAAGAGAACAGGATGAGAGTATGAGACAGGAGTCTTGATGGACTCTTTTCTGATAGTAGCTCCACTTGATGCACCATTAGTTTGGGGTACAAGAAAAAAGAAATACTGGCTGGTACGAAAGAATTCTGTAATGACCTAGGGCTAGTAACGTTCAAAATGTTAATACGTGGGTAGAGTTTCCCTGTCAGAGATGGGCAGATGATCTCTGTAAAGCACAAGACTTCCTCCAAGCATCAAGAAACACCTGATTATTGCCATAAGCTAATCCTGCTTAGACCAGCAGCACTCTGATATGTAAACTGCGCAAGTACATTGCTTGGTACCGAAACCAGGACAACAAGGTCATAAAGCTTGACAATGGACAGAAGACACTTGTAGGCTTTCAGCCTTCCAAATTATTCCATACTCTGGCACTAAGTATGTTTGTAACAAGTCTCTAAGCAGAAGAGTGGTGGAGTCAAATTTTTCCTGGGTCTCACACCAAGCTCTTAATAAAAAAATCATTGGGGGGAAAAAAGGCTGAGAGTGTTGGAATACTAACATTTAAACATCGCATACAAAAATCACGCCTCACTATTTTCTTTAGCTGAAAGGACAGAAAGGAAACATTTGCTCACAAGATAACAAAGGAGCCCTCAAAATCTCTCCAGTAATCCAACTCAATCCTTGCCAGGTTCACCCATTCTTGTACTGTCTAACCACCAAAACCAGTAAGCCCACCAAGCAGTCTTTTACACTGATGTATAGTATATGGAGTGTTGCTGGAAAGTAGAAAATGGCCACATTCAAAAAGGCTAAAAAAAGAGAGACAAATCTGCAGAGTCTGCCAGGCTACTGAAAAGTAGGTGTGTCCACATGAATCCTAGAATACTTTATTATATAATGAATATGATATCCTCCTTCAAAATCCAAACTGATCGCCAAGTTAATTCATAGGATTTATGTTTTGTAAAATCAGGTTACCAAAAGTTAATGTGCACAAAAAGACATGTAGACTCACCCTAGAAGCTCAAAAAAATAAACTGGTCTTTCACTTTTTCCCCTCTCCTTTTCTCTTTCTCCAATTGGACAGAAAAGATAATTTTTCTGTGCAAATCCCTTGACACAGGTTTAGCTCTAGCCATCCCTGCAACAGGCAAAGGAGGAAATAAAAAAGGCAAAAAAAACCCGAAGCCAAAACATAACCATTTGAACATTGTATTTGTATCAAGGCAGAAATGCAGAGAAGTACATTAAACCACATCCATAATCATAAGCAGCAAGCTTTCAACACTAGATTTGTTCTATTTGCAGCAGAAAAACAAGCAATAAACATCACAGAACTGAATCGGTTCAGATGCTCTTTTTGGTCTTCTAGTTAGGATATCAGTTCCACTATTATGTCTTGAAGAGGGGAAAAAAAAATCCACACCAGAAAGAAATCTTCAAGTGTGTTAAACTCAGGAATACAAAACTGAGACGCGTTTAAATCATCACCGACTAACCAAAGAGATTACTAATACATTGCAGTAAGCTTATTTTTAGTGCAAAGTTTGTTAGAGGTATTATCAGAAGCATTTTTTTCATTCAAGAAAAAGGGATGGGAAGGGAGAACTGTTCAAATCAGACGTTAAACACAGTCACTGACTTTCTAGTTATCTCTGACAAGCACAACACAAAGGATTAACCTGACTGTTGAGGGCTCTAGGCACACGCTACAGTAGCACCTGCTTCATCGGTTTTCCAGTTAAAAATGGTTGGGAATGGCATGGAAGCAGTCAGCCTATCTGTGCAAGGGAAATGAGTGTAATAGGAATATTTGGAAAAGTAACTAAAAAAGAAGAAAAAGGTTACATTCATGAGAGAAAAGCACTGGCCTTAATCTACAAAGTAGAACACCTGCTTTCTGATTTTACTCTTAGAATTTCTGGCAAAGAACTACTGTAATAAAACATCAATATATGGTAAACTCTATAAAGAAAACTGAAGTGGAAAATATGCCCTCACCTTAAAGACAAGAAATGAGACAGGAAATCAAATCAATGGTCTGTTCAGCCCGACGGCTCTAGGTTTTATGTACTAGGGTTACTGAAGTATTTTTTCCTGTAAAAGAAATTGTTGAAATGATTACTGTCTATGTTGTCTAATACTAGCGCATAATTGATGGGGGGGTCAGACAACACATGCATACCACATTAGAGTTCTGTGGCATGGGGAGAATACAAACAAGTATGTGTTTAATTGTCAGAACCTAAATAATATATTGGAACGTCTCCACTGATATGAAGGTCACTTGCAACCTCTGAAGAAAGAATCACAATGTTTTCAAGATGAGCATTCAAAGGCGACTTTTAACATTTGAGGCCATAAACAAAATTAATTTCTTAAAACTATCTCCATTTCCTAGTTAACCAATTTAGTGAAGGAAATCATGACCTTTAATAAAAGGCATCTGACTTGAAGTTTCGTAACTTACTGATCACTGTTGCTGTGGTGAAAAACAACTGAAGTACACATATAATCTTTTCATTAAATATCAAATGGATAACAGCATGGTTAAAAGTATGTACAGTGTTGCTCTCTGAATCTCATCTTCTATAAACTCCTCATTTAAAGCAGTTATGAGAGAGCTGTGGAACATAGATGGAAGATGTAAAGCAGGATATAAAGCTTCTCTTTCTATATGAAAGTTTCTGTGAACAACAATTACCATTAAAGTCCTCTCAGGTGATTTACCCATAAATGAATAATTGTCAGACAAAAGCTTTTAGTTAATCCCACTTTCAAAATTTCCCAACACGTTGAGACAGAAATCTTTGTGACTGCAATTTGATACACTTTTTTTGATCAAAACTCAGAGGGGGGGGCCTTTTAAGATGCATCTGAAAATCCACAGTGGAGGAAATTAATAAAAGAAGGAAAAAAGTGTCCACCACATTCAAATAGAACATGAGGAAGGAAAAGAACTTGAAAGCAAGCTGAAGCATGCTGCTGTGCCTGAGAATCCTAAAGATGTTACTAAAAGACACCAGCCAGATCATTTCAAAACCGTAACTTCCTGCCACCTCCACAGAAAACGACTCATTTACTGGATACAATTAAGCATCTCCTCAAAAAGAGAGCAGAAAGCCACCAAACCCTCTTTACATTAAAGTACCACGTCAGCATGTAACAGCCAAGTGACCTTTTACTGAAGTTGTATTAATTGCATTTAACCTTACATTAAGTGGGAAGGCGAGGAGGAAGAAGAAACCTTGTTATACAACACAGATGCAGCGAGTTCAAAAGTACAGTCAAGGCCTTGTCATGATCAGATACAGAAATTAAAATGGTTTGGTGAAATCAAAACCACCCAAGATCATCTTTTAACTGTATTTCCTCTTTGTTCTCTTAATCTTAAAAGGCCTGTAAGACAGCAACCTACAGTACAGCTGAATTTGGTATGCTGAACGGAGATCACTCTGAACTGGCATATTGGAACAGTGAAAGTAGTACAGTGCAGAAAGAACTGACTTCTCATCGATGCTGTGCCGAGGGAGCCAAGTTTACTGTTAGTATATGCTACCTGCTGAAATTAAGAAGAAAGGAGTTTAGCAGGAGAAGTAAAATATACTATGTAAAACTGTTAATTTCTATTCTGCAAGGCAAAAGTCCCTCAGTGGTAAAATATATAGAATCACAGAATCGTTCAGGTTGGAAACCACCTTTAAGATCATCCAGTCCAACCATTATGATGAAGAGTAAAGTATACTAGACCCATTACACTTTCTACTACACATCTCGCCATACAAACTTGGCCAAATTGAGGCCCCCAATTTAAGAACACTCCATTAATACCCTCTTGCACATTACCTCTCAGCTTGGCAATGTAAAGCCTCATTTGGAGACATAAAATTCAATCTGCAGGCAAGGAACCTTATACTGAATAAAAATTAAAGAATACCAAAATCCTAAAAAACAATAGCACAAGACCAGTTTTCTTTTACTCTGTTACTTCTTCATACTAATAAAAAAGCCGAAATCAAGGGATTTTTAAGAATTTTTATTGACAGTTTTACAAAATAATCCTTAATAAATAACATCTTGAGCAGCACTCAAGACACCTCTTCGTCTGCTTCTTGGTTTTGTATGATACGCAAAGATAGAGACGGCATTAAGTTCCTTGCATGTTCACTGTAATGCAAGAACCTGTTGCTTATCCTCCAGAATGTCTTCCTCATCATCCGTTTGGCTTTCATCCCAGCCCCTTAAAAGAAACATACCACAGTGATTTTCAGCAGCTCAAATTCCTCAAGCTACTCTGCTTTAAGCCTTAGTGACATATGTTCACATATGTAGAACTAAAAGGCATGAAAACAGCTTTTGCTATATATTTTGCAAGTATACATACAGTACAAGCTACTATATTCATTTTCTCCCCTCAGTTTTTGTCACGTACGTTTTCACCTCTTAAACAAGTAGGAGGTAAATAACATTGTCACTGTTGTGCCTTAATCCCACATCCCAAAACAGGTAAGCTAGGAAAGTGGGCCTCATTTATCATCTCTGCACTATTTGCAAATATTGTTTAGTTTTCTACTGACCGGCAATTTCAATATTATGAATATTTAAAAAAAAAACCAAACCAACCCCACAGAAATCTCTGAATGAGCTATATTCTCATAGCATGTAGGTAACCTCACAGTGCCTCACTTACCCTTACTAGTTACAAGATCATAGCGAGAAACCAATGACAGACAAAACTTTGGGGAACTTCCTTGTTTCCAGTCATCTCCTCAGTCTCCAAGGCAATGTAACACATATATCATAGACTACGGCGAGTTAAAGGTTATTGACTCACCTGCTCACAACTGCTACCTTTCAACCAAACAACTTAGACGATTTGTAATAGACATACTTTATAAACCTCAGTGCTGTATGTTAACAAAAGCTAATGCATTAAGAAAACCCATAATCCAAAAATGTATAATTTGGACTCTCAACAACAAAACATATCACTTAATCTGAGCTGCCTGAGAGTACCGGCTTAGAACACTAAGATACAAAAGACGTCATGCTGACATTTGCAATCAGCATGTAAAGTACAATCAGAAAGTCAAGACTGTTTTTATTTCAGTTCTGGCAAGATGTTTGGCATATTGAGCATTTTTACAATATCATAAAAACATACTCAGCAAGTTTAATTTACCTGAGAGTATCAACTCTGCTGTGGCCTTTTAGCTCCAGGTTTTTATGGTAATCTGTAGTATTTCCACATACCTTCTCTGAGTGTCTGCTGGTTACATCTTCAGAAGTTAAGCTGTAAGGTTTTTCAGGACCTGAAATATTTTATGTCATCTCAGGAACAAATATAAACAAAAAAATGCAGTATCTACACCATCAATTTTAAAGAATTTCACAGTATCAACAAAAACTTGCCATTAAAGGTCTCAAAACAACTCTAGCTGATGAAGGATGTCACTACAAGCCCTTAAATAAATTATGACTTTTTATTATATGGTTCCTGTATCATTAGAAGTAACGGAGAGGGTTTGCTTCTAAGATGTTTATGCCAGTACAATACGAAACCTCATATAGAGGGCCCACTAATAGCCATGCAACCCCAAAATACAGTAGCAAATGTAGAACTCGGGTAGCTGACTAATGGTAGCACGTATTTAAAACAGAGTAACAGGATATATTCCACATCCACTAATACAAAAAGATGATCAATTGACGTCACAGTCTATGCTTCTTATATAAACACACATGCAAGTATGTTACTGTTTTTCTAGCTAGCCATAGGTCTCTACTATGAACTTATAAGTGAAAAGTATTCCAAGAAACTGGAACAAAAAGGGAGAGAAAGAATGGGGCAGTTCAACAGTAGCTTCCCTCCCTATTCTTCTCTGAGCATATTCAGCACGGATGTTCATTCTTCAAGCATTAACAAGAAAAACTCTTCCAAAAACACACGTGTTCCGATGAGTATGTATCAAAAAAGTACGGACAGCTGTCCTGAAATGTGGTATTTGGAAGCCTCAGAAGAGCTGTGTGAAAAAAGACAGCAAAACCTAGGATAAAAACATTTTAAAAGATAGAATACTCTGGAATCCAGGCTACTTTTGTGTCTTGAAGATGCATCATAGCCAGGACCTGCCAATATAAAAGCACCATAGCAACTCAGAAGGGAGGGACCATGTCACAGCCTAAGAGACGCAGTCCATCAAGGCTGCTTATGGCACAAAGTGCCATAGGCACTTGGCCTATCTCCTCATTGGGATGGAACAGAAGCATCCCAAACAGGTTTCTTTTCCTGCATTCAAAGAACAAAACCAGAACTCACTCATTCTGTTCAACCATAGCCAACTGACCTTGCCTGCCTGCCACCTCCCACACACAGAAAGCAAGGAGATGGGTTTAAAAAGACAGAGGAAAGGGGTTGAGTCAAACACAAAACAAGAGGTAATACCATGTCTATTGTGCCTTATTAGTGGTAGCTCTCGTCAGGGGAGATTTATAAGATTTCCTGTCCATCTCTTCCCCTTCTTGCTACCCATCAAATCACATCTAGCTTCTAAAAACACCTGGGATGTTTATTATTAAATATCCAAGGAAAGGATACCTATTTAAAATAAATTTGTGATCTGAAATAATACCTAGCACATCCTACAGATTTTTGCAACAAAACGCAAGGGATAAAAAAAACTTAAGAAAGTTGCACAAAACACTTTGCTTCTACTAAATCAAGGGTAGGTTAAAGTATGATCAAATGGAAATAAATCACTATTCAACCACTAAAGAGCCTTGCATCACAAGCGGTTTAGTACATTTTTGCATCAAAATCAGATCTGAGAAGGCAGATGAAATAGCTACTTGTTTTCATTATGTTACTTGTAAGCATCAGGAGAAAAAAGCAGTATTGCCACTTACCTGTATAACTTTGTAATTCTTTTTCCAGAGCAAGTAGGGCTTCTTGGTCAGCAACATATTCCCAAAGATACTCATCTTGTTTAGTTACATCAAGGCACTTGTGTTTTGATAGCTCAGTATCAACTCTAAACATACGCACAGGTGAACTCTTTGGTCTTGGCTGTTTGTTTGCTGGACAATTTCCAGTCAGTTTACAGCGTAGCATATTTGTTGACCAAGGCCTTCTAGAATCATTCCCTGAAATAACAGAAAAGGTCAAAACTTGTAATAATTCAAGATTTCACACATAAAGAGAATCTTATCTCAGCTCACTAATGACATTAATTGTAGCTAAAATTATAAATTGATCTGAACAGCTTATTAATTTTGCTTAAGACTGCGAATTAATAAATGTTAATAAAGACTTTACAATTATATTGGGAAGTAGCACCTCATACTTCTAAAAAAACTATTTGATTTAAATGTTACGTACAATGGCACAAATTTTGGGTAATGGGAGAGACTGAGAATGTGTGTAGAAAGCTTAAAACTTTGGTTCTGTCTTTTTTTAATTTAAAGGCAACATGAATAAAATATAGACACTTTCAAATATTTTTCTGGGATTCAAAATTGACAGTTTCAATTTCCGCATATAGCGTTTTTAAAATTAAAATGCCAAACTGGTTGCTTAAGATGAGAGAAATAACGTAAGCTACATTCCTTGAGATGGAGACAGCTGAAATTGAGAAAAGCAACTAAAAAGTGCGGATGCAGTTATGCATTACTTGTTTCTTTGTTTCTTATAGTTCAGGTAATAAGACTTATTTCCGTAGCATGAAGAAATCTTTTATTAGATCAAAACCAGATTGTACTAGATGCTGCAAAACACACAGTAATACACAATCTTGTTCTAGACAGTTTATTAAATAAATATTCGAGCTAAGAGAGGAGTAATGGGGTAGATGCAGGAGTAGAAGCTAAGCACAATAAAAAGAACTATTAGTGACAGCTGGAAAGAGATAATTTTTAACTCAAAAGCCCATTCTTATGAAAACAATAATATAAATATATAAGCCTTTATACCCAAAATACAAGTACATAGATGAAGATACAAAAATGACCTTAATTCACCTGAATCATCACAGACAGCACTTCTACTTTTTACATAAGAAAAATTAACCTGTTAAAGTAGGACCTCAAAGCTGTTGCTGTCCTTACCTGGGTATGACCTCCACGCTACTGTCAGGGGAGAAATTCTATTTTGAGTCTCCAAACCACTTGAAGGTCTGTTCAACTGACTTGCTAAGACACCTTGAACTACAGAGTCATCAGCATATTCATTTAAGCTCCTTTCAGTAACCCACTTTCCATCTCCTGAAATTAAAAAGTATTAGAGGAAATTATTTGCAGATTTTGTGTTAATATGCATTTACTGTTACTATATTTGCTGCACTTAATGTGTGTGATTTAAAGAAGTCATGCAACAAATTTTCTACACATAATGCAAAAAAAAAATCATATATAACACACTAACAAGCTTAGATTCAAGTGATATACTTGATGCAATTAACATTCATGTTCACCAATCATTTTCACATGTTGTTTCATATACACCATTAAAAGCATTTTTTTGGGATGGATATTATGCACAAAGAAAAGCAGAAATTCCTACTCGAACCAAATTCTCAGGGGATAGAAAGAAGCATATAAATCTATGGCACTACACTGAGGTAATTTACCTCAAGGTAGTAAGTTTATTTGATCCTTCCACAGCACCAGTGGTGTGTGTTGGCATGACTGTTACCCTGAAGTGACTTCTAAAAGTAAGCTAGATCCAAGCTACACGAAAAGAAGGATGTCTTACAGCAACAGTGATAAATATGCATATTGTTTGAGGATTTTATCCATACGCCATTACCTGGAAATGGGATACTACTGTCCACAGGGCTAGAGTCAGCACACAGTGAAGAACGTGCTTCGAGCATTACTTGCTTAGGGTTTGCACCTACAACAAAGAAACCTTCAAGTCCCCAATACTGTGTAGAAACAGGTTTCTGTCTTTTGGCTACATCCTGTAACTTAAATAAAACACAAAGGTATTAGAAACAGGGAAAGAAACAGGAAACTTCATAAGTTGCCCTTGCACGTTTACATTAATAAAATTCTCATTTCATAAACTTGGAATGATTCTGATAGCCTGGTGTAATAGACATTCATACGGATGATAGTTTTGCATGATGTATGCTTTAAAATCCTATAAACTTCCATTGCTAGCGTTGTGAGAGTTTGAGTCTATTCTTCCACTGATTGACTGTGGACATGAAAAGTAGTTTTTATTTGTTTTCATTTATCTTTGTATATATCAACGAAAGTAATACTGTTTAATAATGACTCCAAATCTAACATCCCACCCTCCTCCATGATAGTTTGGTTTCAGCTTGTTATTCAGCAAAAGAACATTTGAATAATTCAAGTTAGATAAGAGTATCTATAGTTTTTTGTGTTCAACCAAGAGGTGAAGTGACCTTGATACTAACATGGGAAGAGCTGCCTTCTCCCCCAACCCACCTTTTTATTTTTTTTTTTTTCTGAGACTAGTCTGTTCTTTCTTTTGCTTTTTTCAAACATCAAGAGAAGACCGACAATACAAATTGGAAAGTACAGAGGCCTTCCTCCCCTACAGATGAAATATGGTAGGCAGTCACAATCCTCTGATTAAAACTATACTCTTGATTGCTTTTGGGGGTAGGGGGAGGGGGTTTGGAGCAGAATGGGGAAAAGTGGTGGAATATCTCATGGTAACCATACAACTAGCACTCTCTGTCAACTGATTCAGCAACATGGTATCTTGCCTCATGCTAAACTGGGAAAGCAGATTAAGCAACATAGTTTATCTATTTAGCAATCAAAGACAAAATATTTTACCACTGAAGACTTTGTACTTACAGGCAAAACCAAACTCTGGCTATTGCAGACACTGTCCAGTTCCTGAGAATCTTTATTGGGTTTCTGCAGTTGTGTCTTAAGGAGATATTTGTTGCTCATTAGTTCAGTAGGGTTAGAAATCTTCTCAGGTAGTTTACAGGAGCTAAGTGATCTTGTCATAGTCTTTAGGTTAGAACTCTCCTTTTGCACTGTATTTCTTTCAAGACTGCAGACAGCCATTTTTCCTACAAGAGTACAAAAAAAAAAATAATGAAAATAGGAATTTTTTTTTAATAGAAGTGAATATGAATTATAACCTGCAAGTCTATTGTATTTTCTTCATGAACTTAAAACATGAAAACTCCATTGAAGTTATCCCTAAGCCGTCAAATTACAAATAAGAAAGTTAATTCCTGCTGATATCCAGAGATGCCAACATACACGGACTAGCCTTACCAGGTAGTAGTACCAGGTCCGTACCTAATGCGTATGTTCCTGTACATCATTGTCTATGAAAACATTAGATCTTGATAATAACCTTAACACATTTCCAACTACGTCTTAATGCTAATGTAATTTCTTACATTTAGAATGCTATAATCTAACTAGTGCTAGCGTAAGAACTGTAATAGTAGCAATTTCAGAGAATTTCCTTAAAACTAGCACAATGGTTTGAAATACATACTATCAGGCTATGTATGATTCTACAAGCTGGTTTTCTTTGTTTATACAAGCCATAGCCATTTTATTTTTTATCCTGTGCCCAAAGAAGCACATAAATCACATCTCATTCGTCAGCTCTTGTTTGCTTTTTCACATTTGAAGACTTAAATAAGCAGTTTCTTGAACTAAGCACAAAGGGAATAAGTGCTAGGTTCTGAAGTGCTGGAGCAATTGTTTGGTACTTGCAAGAATAAGAAATTAAGTGCCCTTACATTCCAATTTATTTCTTAATATTAAAAAAGCAACAATATATTTCACATAGTTTTAGGGGACGGAGTCAGATCTTTGGGATTCCTTAAGGGTGCCACAAAATAAAGCTGCGAAACTTTCAAGATGATTTCACTGATGTGCAACAGGCACTGGAATACCTATACACAAATTACGATTTTTCATGCAGAACAGGTAACCATTTATACAGTTTCTCAACCTATCTATATAAAAGCATTTTTCTACATAAAAAGGACACGTGCCATACATTAAATCTAATACAGTACAGATAAACTGAGAGATATATATGATCACTTCATCTGCTCTATAATGGGTTTGTTTTCAGTATACAGCTCATATTGGGGCAGTCTATCCCTCAAATATGAGCTCATAGCTGTGAGATTACTGTCACAGTAGATGCCTATCTTTTAAAAATAGCTGCACAGTCCATCTAATTGTGTTCAAGGGAACTGCATAGCTCAGGGAATGGTACATAATTTAATGATCATTAATTTTTTTTTTTTGGACCACCATCGTAGTTGACTACCACATCCTGTATGAGAATGATAAAACTGTATGCACTTAGGTATATTGTACAAAACTTTAAAAATTTACCTTGAGAAATTTCTTTAGAAGAAACAGGATTGCTGTCAAGAAAAAATTATCGAGTGTCAGCTGTGGAAATTAAATGACAAGATGACTTTCTCATTATGCCTACAGTTTCTGTTGGCAAAAGGTCTGGTACTGGGTCATTCTGATCTGCAGCTGCTGAACCACTTTGAAACAGAGGATGGTGGAAGGACCAGAATAATACAATATATGAAAAACAGATCACATCTCATCATAAATAAATTCTGGGAGAGCAGAAGAACTGCACATGTATCATTAATTATGAGGACTCTTAGTTTTGCCTGGAATGACAAGACTAGTCAAGTGAAAGTATCTTAAAAGGACACAACACTGACCAATTACAGACTTGTCTGTGTGCCAGTCCCTGCTCCTGCTGACAAAAGAATAGAATAGAATATTCTATATTCTAGAATATAGAATACAGAATAGAAAGTCTACCTGTAATTCAGGTCTCACACATACAAAGAAATGTATCTTACATGGTTTAGCATTGGAGCGATCAAGCAAACAAAATAAAAGACATTTCAAAGTGATGCCTCTCTAGTTACAGACAATTAATATACCTTGGTGGCTCACTGATGAAGTTGAAGACGCAAACTTACTATTCACTAACTTTAACGGTAAACGTGTCGTATGCCTGTTAACTGCCAAACTGTTCTTAGACTGTCTTACAAGCCAGTCATCAAATCATTAGGTCATTCAAATGAAAACGTTCAAGGACAGAAAACAGCAATCACAGACAGGATCTTGGAAGAAATGTAAAGGAAGGGAAAGCAGTAACTAGGTGTGGTGATACTGGCACAGTCTATGTCTTGTGCCAAGGATGAGAAAACATATATATTAACTATGGCTTAAAAAAATTTACAGTTTATAATCAAGGATTCTCCCCTTTCATATGAAGTATGACTGTCTGCAAACAAGAGCGCCTGTTTCTTAGGAATGTAGCTAAATCAGAAGATAGGATTATTCCCTTTTCTCTTCCAAATAACCTCTGCATTTCTGATACCTTCCACACTGCTTCAGTGGTTCAGTTTTTCCTTGCTTACTCACTCCCACAGCCCCAGCCTCCATCACCAGAAGTTTAGATGATTCTTCCAAGTCCTTGCCATAAGACTAATTAAAAAACAAAACCAAAAAAACATAGTCAGCAATAGATTAGAATTAAAAAAAAATATTAACTCAAGTGATTAAAAGCCTGCAGATGTTGTTTTTGTAAAATTTCTATATAGTAAGGGTCTCTGGAGACAACAGGGTAAAATTACAGGGAACCTTTGGAAAGATAAATTTTCCACATTTGTATGGAAAAGATAAACAATTCACCAATATTTTTTTTTATTAGAAATTATTTAACTGTTGCTACTTTAAATATTTAACAGATCAACATTTAAATAAATCACTTCAGGTCACTGTGAAGATTCCTGAAGTCCTTTATTACATACTTACATCATCAAGGAACTCAATTTTCAAAGAGGACTCTGTACTTTCAGAAATAGTGTTGGGTACTTCCTCTCTAAAAACAGATGTCCAGTACCTCTTCACCTCTTCAACTGTGAAACATAATTAGTTTGATGCATTTCGTTTTTTTCCTGTTCAAGGCACACTTACAAAAATGCAAACTTTTTATTATGAAGTACCATAAATTTCCCCTGTCATTATTGTTACTTTCTTTAAGCAGAAACTGCTTAAGTGTGTAACTGTTCAGCAATCATAGCAAAAAAAAAAAAATCCCAAGAAAAAGTATTTAACAGTTAGATTCAGTAAACAGAAATCTATTATACCTGTTAAGCCATTGACATCGTCATCATCATCTCCTTCTCCCCCTTCTCCAATCACAGGCTGATGTACACTCAGTGTTTGCACAGGCCTTAAATCTTTAATGCAACTACCAGAAATTTGATCAACAGGAGTTCTAAAAAAAGGAAAAGAAATCAATCTTTAAAAGTCATCTTCTTTTTTTTTTATATAATATCACAGTCATTAAAAAAAAACCCAACCAACCAAACAAAAAACCACCATGCTACTTACTGCAGCAGTATTAACTGCTGCTGAAAAGCAGCAACTCTTCCCAATTTCACTTAGATGACCTTGCAGCTCAGGGACTAACACAACTCTATAATGTTTCTAAAAGTATCTTGAAGATCATACTTCCTTTTCTCTATAAAACTCCTGTAGCAAACGCTCCAAAATCAAGCAACCAAGTATCATTACCAGTCTTCAAATTCTACAATAAACTGATAGTAAAGAGAATCCCTCCACATACGACTTCTGCAGTAACTCTGAAATATTAAGTCATCAAGTCTGGTTATAATGGTGATTTTATTAAAATAAAGCACCCTGTACAAAGTCACCTTAACTCTTGATAATATAGCTAGTATTTAAAAAGTTTCAGTGGAATTTTTGTTAATGCTATTAAGTATTTCTGACTTCTTTCATTAGTACCAGCAACTTCAACAATACCTTCTGTATTTCTTAAGCAAGAGTTTCTCCATGTAGCTCAGGCCATCCTTCTTGAATTCAATTTGGATAGGTTCCTTCATAACAGTAAGATTGGTCTGTACTTCACAAATTCCCACAGATTCTATCAGAATTATTTAAAAAAAAAAAGTATACAGCTATTCAGGTTTATAAACTTGCTATTTAACTAGATTATTTTTGAGTGAATGTCACATTAGTAGCCCATGCCTAGCTAAGTCTTTGCGTAACTCCAAAATCTAAATGGCCAGCAGTATTATATTTACACAAACACCACAGTCAGCAGTGGGGGTAGCCAGTAAAAACTCATTTATTACAGCTTCTCACATAAAGGAAGATTAGCATATTGGGGGAGGGGAGGAAATCCATGATTCCACAGATAAAAATCCCACCATATCACAGGAAAGAATTAAAAAAAAGAAAAAAAGACATCAGTATAATATTTTTTGTACAAAAATACACAAAGAATAAACACCACCCATGGACTAGAGGAAAGAGACTAGCTTGCACAAATCAAATAACACGAGAGGTTTTTTTCATATTTTTCCATGCATACTTCAACTGATTGCATCTTTTCACTGGGACAAAGAAACATTAAGAGCCTGTGGAAGGCAAGCAGAAAATCGACTTTGATACAACATACGAAATCCTGAGCCATGCACATTCCTTGTCTCAGTTAAGAGCTGTGACTTTATGTTTGAGCATTACAGTTCATATTAAAGTCTCATGTGAGAAACAATGCCATAGAAAAGTACAGGGGCACAAGCTAAACGATCTGGCCAATGCCACAGTTCATTATAAGAATTGGGGTAAACACCGATCTGCACATTATTAAAAAAAAACTTCAGAGGTTGTTGTTAATTTATAAAGGAACACAGAGAGAAAACTTCAGCAGCAGCATTTACTATTCTAACAGAACATCTACCTTCACTAATCAAAAATCTCCTAACTCGCCAAAATGGCTCCTAATGTTTTTAAAATGCAATTAAAACAGAAAAAAATCATACCTGATAGGACCTCACTGGCATGGAGTTGTTCTCTGTGATCACGATTACCTTTTCTCCATTGAAGCAAAGCTTCCTGAAAAGACTTTGCAGATTCCTCCTCATTAAACATACCATTTAGTAATAATCCTTTGTCCTGATTTCCAAGGCCTGTACAGGTTGATTCTGAGGACAGTTCCTAAATCAGTGCCGCAACATAATTAATACAGCACTTCTGATGATAATCCTTTCCCCAGTTACATAAAATAGCAACAATATTTTTAGTATCAGCTATGGAAATGCAGCTCCCTGTTTTCTGGGCTTAGTCTAGCTACCCTGATCATCAAGATCACTCCATTTTTATGTGGTCTTGCTCACAACTGAATTGCAATGTTCTATCGAGAGCAAAATAAAAAAAAAAAAAAAAAAGCTTGTATAAGCACACAAAAACCCCACACTTAAGTTAAATGCTCTTAGTAGGCAGAAAGCAGTAGCCATGGATAGCCCACATCCTATATATAGGATGGATATTGTGTTGACAGACATGAGCAGGGGTCAACGGGCTGTGAACGTCTGATAGCCTGATCCCTCAACTTGGCACACTGAGGAAAAACCTAAGGCCACTCTACTTAAGATGTCCTAAACAAAAAAAATTGTTTGTTTTTTCAAACTGTACACTACCTCAGCACTGCCTACTGACACTCGGAGAGATGAAAACGTGTCTGATGCGACCTGATGCTTGCTATTTACTTTCTTCTGCTTGCTATTTACTTTCTTCTCCTCATGATTAATTTTCAATTCATTCAGATTTACTTCCTTGATGAAGTGATCAACAACTTCTAATTTTCCAACACGTATATCGGCTCCTGTCTGTTAACGAAACATTATGAAACCATTAATTTATTATAAAAATATTCAAACATTCCACCCAACAGCATATTAAAAGCAGGTAGGTAACCGCATATTGAAGAGTGATGGTGAAATAAGCACATAATAATTTCTATAAGCAATAGTGTGCAAACGCGTGAGCAAAAATTCAATAATCTGAATATTCCATTAGGTACTACACAGGACAGACTAAGTGAGGCGTTTTATGCAGCACATATCATTTAAACAGATTTATGAGCTATGTACTTTATTAATGAAGTTCTGCTTACTGAAGCTTTTCAGTAGACAGAAGCACATCTCTAGAGGTCAACAAGAGGAAAATGTTCATTTAAGGAACTAACTGGAATACCCATTCACACACAAAACACAGTCCAGGAAAGTCCAAACTATGAAGAACTAGATGAGTTTGACTGAAAATAGCTACAGAAGAAGAGTAACAGTTTTACTCACACTGGCACTTCACTGATTTGCAACCTTCATTAGGGCAAAGAAAATTACTGTGGAAATGTAATATGAAGGTTTTGATTGGCAACTCTTGAATGATTATCAAGCAAAACCAAAAAATATTTTACGTTCAACCTTTCCCTGTGTCCCCTCCCTATGCACAGAGACCAGAAGGAAAGATCCTTTGCCTATAAAATCCTCAAGTAAGGAACATATTCTCACCACAAAAACACAAGAGCAGTGAAGGTACAGGCAGAAAGTGTCATCAGAAAGAGTCAAATATGTCAAGCAGCCATCGCAAAACTAGAAGGTACTCACATCTCCTTTCCACCTACTCTACACTATAATCGACCCAACGACTTTGCGGGTGCTGGTTGCACATTAAATGGTACTTGCGACGTGCCAGTGGGTATGCATGGAGACTGACAGTTTTTCTCCTTTTGCAGTCTTCCTCCGATTCTTATACTGCAGGATGAATAAGGTTCAAAGTTTACTCTATGAACATGCGTGCTTTGTCTTTTTCCCCAAACCTAATAGTCCATAATCATCCATAAATGATAGCAATTCATTTTTCCCCCAACATCATCAACGTGTTGCTAACACACGGGGAGATCACAGAAGCCTAGACTTAAAGAGGGGAATTTTTCTCTGTAATTGCCCTTCTCCTTGGCTCATTCTGCTTCCTATGGCACACGCATTCAAAGTACATAGATAAAGATTGTATGGATTTCTTTTTCACCACATGAACAAAATAATCTTAACATTACAGTAGAATTCAGTAGAAGTCACATTCCTTTGAAGGAGATAATTTTAGTGATGTAGCTTCACACCTCTGCTCTCTTTGAGCAAGCATAGTCGCACTGTGTATGGTTCCTTCTGGTACTCTGGCACACGGTATATAATAGCAGATCAATACTTGAAAGGCTCACCCTGCTGTGTTATTTATATAAACATCATCAACAACTTCAGCGAGATTTCGCTCAATTGCTTCAAAATACTTAAGCAAGAATTGCGGAACTGATTTTAGAGAAGACTTGCAAAGCTTATTTGTTTTGGCCTGATGTTAAGCTTCCCAGCAGCTGAACTCAGATGCTAATTTTCTCCTACTTTGACGCCTAACCACCATAGGCATCTCTCTCCGCACCCTTCTGTTAGCTCCCTTTATTAATAGAAGAAGTTTCTAATTAGTTTCAGAGTAGGACTGGAGAGAATAAGGAAGACGACAAGTAAAAGGAGGGGATGGGGGGGGATCAAGACAACTTCAGGTGGAATTCTGATGCAGATGGAGCGATCACAGCACTCCATGTTTCTCAGTTTAAATTCTTATATTCTTCCAAAGAACTGCTGCATGGCCTTTAACCCCCACAATAAATTCCAAAATCTCCCTTCCAGTTTGTTTGCCACCAAAAATGAGCAAATTGACTTATCCCTTAAAAAAAAAAAAATATATATAGCTAAGAGAGAATGCATTATAAAAGTCAAGATTTATGATTATCTTACTATTGTTAGCACCCAGTTTTCACTTCTAGGTTTAAAAGATCTGCTACAGTCTATTAAAAAAAAAAATCCTAAACAGTCTGCATTTATATGTGTGTGGTAAAATATTTTTATATCCATGCAAACCAGCTCATGGAAAAGCTTTTATATCAACTGCATAACTCAGGGTAACACATCATCCCAAAAAGATGATTTATTGCTGACTTTTCGTTGCTTACAGGATGCAGTATCCTTCTGTAACTGACTTAAATTCTCACCTGAATTTTTTCCATCAAATGATGTAATCTTTCCGCTAACATACTATAAGCAAGGATCATTTCAACAAAGATGTATTTATCAGACCAATAGCTTTGACAATTTACTGCAGTATGGAAAGAATTATATTTCTGGGAAGAAAGAATGAGATAATCAAATAAATTTTAGCGGGATAACAGAATGACATATCCAGTGACATCATCGAAAAGTAAACCTGTCCTTCAGGAAAACCTCACACGGTAGAACTGAAATGGTTAAATCAGCTTACACTTAATCAAGACCCTGTCTTCATTTTCTGTATTTATGTTAGCTTGCAGTTTCACGATAAAGTAACTTTGATTCTTTGTAATCATAACAATGACATATGAATCCAAACATTTTTTTCATAAAAAGTTCCTGACATGGCTTCTGTCTGATTTATTAAGTCCAGCTATAAAACAGTTATTAACATAGGAATGAAAGAAAATGAAAACAAGCATAGTAATATGTATTTGAAAAGGTATTAAAAAAAGCAAATCATGGCACTTATCAAAATCAAATTTGGAATAACCTTCGGAGAAGAAAAAAACGCGGTTTTGTCCAAATCATAAAATCCAAACTGCATGTACAATTTGGTCCAAAAAAAGAGTTGTTACAGCCCATTTATGAAATGCAATCAAATATAACGCAAGAGAAGCTTAAGTTTGTTACAATTAAGTGTTACACAATAATTCTAGGAGGAATCTTTACTACCCTAATTATAAAATGATAAAAGTTTTATCGTTTCATAACAGATATGCGACATAAAGTTGTATGTTAGAAACTGAATATTACTGAGCTGAATAATAAACCTACACACAATGTAAGTCTCCACTGTACTGTGTAACATTTTAATTTCATCACAGTTTATTCCTTCGTGAGTAGAATCCAAGTATGAAAGACTCAGGAATGCTGCAAGTGGCATCTGACAGAACAGACATAAGTTGGAAATCAGAGCTTCCAGCTCACTTATAACTATATTTAAATTACAAGTAACATAGACCGTTAAATATACTCAGAAGGGTATATAATTGTCTTTGATGAAGAAACAAACACTTTTGGCCATTTTCAGTACTTACAAATTCTTTTTTCTAAAATACTTGACATCCAACAATTTGGAAAAGTCTCAAACAATATACCAATAACAATATTTCAAAGAGCCTGTGTAAAAATCTCCTGACCCAGCAATTTGTTACATATTTCCAACCACGTAACAGTACCACCGGTTCAATTTAACTCAGTTTTCCATAAGGCGTGCATAGCTATAAAATCCTTCAAGGCACAAGAAAAGGCAGGGTGATTTTATTTTTTTCTTAGTATACATTGCAATAAAACAGCTATGCTATTTGTTGCTATGAAAACTCTTTTTTAACTGAAAAACTTTCTACTGAATTGGAAAGTCACATGCGATAGCGGGAAAGCGATCCCTTTGTGGCTTGAGCAGTGTTAAAACGCTGCCTTGTTACGCACCGGCCTCGTCCTAACCTTACGAGCGCTACTCCCGAGCTGCCAGAGGCTTTCTGGGATCGGGCACGAAGCACCCACAGCCCCACCTAAATCGAAGGGGGTGGAGGCGAGGAAAAAAGCAAACCGTAGTCCAATAGATTTGGGCTGGACATAAGGAAGAAATGTTTTACAGTGAGGGCGGTGAG